GACTGATATTCACGTATGTTTTCCTAATGTTTGTGTGTAAACAGTCCTAACATGAACTGAGAAAAATTACCAGCAAAAGCAGAAAGCAAACACCCAGCCTGGTTTGGGGAATTTTAGGAGGATCGGGTGGCATGTCAGATATGTTCTCCTGGAAAGAGGATCTATTGGCCATACCAGCTACACAACCAATTGCTGCAAAAAATTAAAATAGAATAAAGAGAAAGGGTTGAGACTCCCCTCTGTCTGCCAATGGCTTCTCTCTAGCATTACAATGCCATAGCGATGCTCACCTTTTAAGGGATTTGCTGCCCCCAAATAGTCCCAGCTGCTTGCTAATGTGGCATTGTCCTGCGAGTGATGAAGTTCTCAAAGCAGGGAGCCCTGAGAGTCCAAGCGGGCAGAAAGTCCCTCCAGAGTCAAAAATATCTGCCACCAACTGACAGTTATTTGAACTAGTTGTACCACATACTAAGAGTTGGCTTTACAACCACTTTCTCCCTGGGCCTCTCCTCCCAGCCTGGTCAGACGCTACCCACACATTTGTTATTTCTCCCCACTGTCTTTTCAGGCAGCCAAAGCCAAGCCAGCAGGCAGAAGCTGGACCCGGACACGTGTCCGATGGGGGAGGAGGCCAGGTTCACTGACCCAGGCATGGGATACACCTCATCTAGTATTTACCAGCACACCTCACACCTATACCTTCAGGACACATGAAATACCAGCATCGTCCTCATTTCCCATTAGAAACTGGAGGTTCCCAGAGACCAAATAATTTTCTTTGCATCATTTAGTAGTGGCAGAAAAGAGCAGGTCTCTCTCCTACCCCGCTCTACCCAAGGGGCACCGGGACCACCACATGCTGTGTTCAGGGTGGGAGCTACAGGACAGCCCCATGTCTGGGAGTCTGATGAACCCACACCGCCTGTAGGCATGTGTACTCTGGAGAGCATACACAGGCAGGACAGATGGGGCAGACATGGGGTGCAGGTGGGCCAGTCCTACCTATGCTCCCCCAGGCCCAGAGCCCAAGCCCCACCTGCCCGAGGACCTCGGTTGGAGTGGTGGTGGCGCAGGCCCAGGGTCTCCCCCAGGTGCGGTGTGTGTGGGCAGGTGAGAAGGTGGGCCTGTGTGTGCATTTACCACAGGGCCCAGGAAAACGCCCCTCGGGGACAGCTGTGCCACTTCCACAGGAGTATGATCAACCATTTTTTCCTGAAAGAACAAAAACCCTTTTTAAATTGACACTGAGGCTCTGCGTGGACCAGCAGCCTCCCTGACCAGGGCTTCCCTGGAAGCCACCCCAGGTCACCTCTCAGCATTCTCCTCTAGTAGCTTGGCAGTTGGGATAAGCTGGCTCCAGAAAAGAAGACTGGCACGTCCTGAGAAGGTCTCTGTGTCTCCTCCTTTCTCACCCCTTTGGCCTCTCTCCCCGGCCTTCACCCATTCAAAACAGGCCCTGGAGGGGGAAGGAGGTACAGGCATTCTGTGCTCTGCACCCTGCCGGAGCTGGCTCCCACCCATGTGACTTCCACGGCCCCTTCTCCTGCTGGGAAGGCTCCATTGGGGCCTCACTGGCTCACAGGTTCCCTCCCCCAGCTCACCCTGCCTGCAGGAGCTGGCTGCCTCCCCTGCATGCCACACAAACTTCTCTGTCCCAAATCTGCAGAACCATCTCTGTCAGGGATTTGGGGTTTGTTTTCTTAATTAACTGAAAATGCTAACATGGGAGCCCCAGAGCTGGCAGGGGCCTGGCCTTCAGCGGCTGCTAGAAAAAAATTCTTGCTTTGAAATCTGGATCACTCATGCCCCGCATGAGATGTCAAAACAAACAGGGACACTTGATCTCAGAGTGCAGGGGCTCGGGCAGGCTCAGGTTACAAGGCCAGTGATGGATTTAGCTACAGGATGCCTTAGTAGCCAACAGGTGATGAGATCCTGACTTCCCAAAATGGTACAGCCAGACCCTGAAGAGGCCCCTGCTGTGGCACAGGCTCTAGGGGACAGAGAGAGAGAGGTCATTGTGGCTGCAGCCAACCACATTTGCTGAGTGCCTACCGCCTGGCAGGCACAAGCTGAGGGTGGGAAGGGCTAGAGGTGGCCAAGTTCTATTGATTCCTGTCCTCAAGGAGATAAAAAGTTGGGAATGAGTTATAAAAGTATAGCATAAAGGGCCCCCAAATGCAAAATAGTTACTAGCTGGACCTTTGCAGAAAAATGTAGAAGATGGCAAGGATAGAGTGGGGTCTAGAGAAAAGAAGACCAGGATGATCACCCAGGGCCAGCTGAGGGGTGGTAACCAGAGAGTGAGGGTACCCTGGAGTGTCACCCAAAAGCAGGTATGAGTGCTTTATGCAAGACCCAAAACCTGAGTGGGAGGAGGGAGAGGCGCTGGAAGAGGAGGAGGCACAGGTCCCAAGACACACGAGTCTCCAGCCTCCTGCACTGGGAGGATATCTGATCCAGACAGGTGCTTGCTGCCCAGCCCCATCCAAGGGCCAAGGCACCAGGCCAGCAGGATGTGCCCCAGATACCTTCAGGGCAGCCAGAGTCACATTCACAGCTCCCTACACCTGGGCTGGTGCTATAGGCTGTCTCACCCAGCAGCAGAGCCTCTGGAGAGGTCAGAAGTTCTGAATGACCCGGGAACACCCATCTTTGGGAGGGAGTGTTGCAGGGAGGACCAAGCTCCCCTTTCCCAGCACAAGTGGACCCATCTGCAAAGGCCCACAGAGAAGCAATGATCTGCTGAGGTCAGAGATACCACATCAGAAGCAGAGCTCCTGATCTGAACTTGGGCTCCTTCCTCCCCTGACTTGCCCACTCCTCTCTGAGAGTTTTCCCTGGGTCCACCCTGAGCCTGGGGATCAGGAGGCTGGAAGATTCTGAACACCAAGCTGCTCTGTCCCAGTTGAGTCTGGCCCACTCTGCTCCCAGGAGAGGAAGATGTCGACCCATTTCCTCTTGGGACACTCATACCACACCTCTCCCTTCCTGTGGTAGAATCCATGTAGATTTTCTTAATCTTTAGCACTTTGGCCCTTCAAGCATACACTGTAGAACACAGTTTAAGAAACAAAGCATTAAAAGTTAAGAACTATCATTTTAGAAAACCACTCGGTGCCAACTTGCACAGAAACATAAACTTGGGGACTGAAATCTCATGCCTGTAGTAGGTTATGTGGTGATCACTCAGAGGATTCAGAATGGCTGCGTTCAATTTTTAGATTATCACTAAAATGAAAACAAAATGCAACATTGCTCAAGGAAAAGAACATCTCAAGCAGAGTTCTCAGACCTCAGATCTGGCATTTTCTTGGAAAAGTATTCACACAATTAGGCAGCCTGGGCTCTTCTAGACCTCAGCAGTATCTTCAGTGCTTACCACAATGGCTGGCGCTCAGTAGGCCAGCAGTTTGACTTCATTGAACAAACAAATCAATGAATGATTGAATGAATGAAGAGGTTCCAGTCCTGGCTCTCCAGTTCACCAGCTCTGTGTCCTTTGGCAAGGTCCCTAATCCCTGAACTTTAGTTTCTTTATTTGTAAAATCTACAAAGCTCAATGAATTACTACAAGAATTAAATGAGATGGTAAGCTTTTGGCACAGTGATCGGTGCATTCAAGGTACAGGAAAAAAATGGTAACTATTATCGTTACTTTTCAAAGACGACTTTATTTTTATTTATTTATTTATTTACTAGGTCACCCTTGGTGGAGTGCTGTAGTATCACAGCTCATAGCAACCTCAAACTCTTGGGCTTAAGTAATTCTCTTGTCTCAGCCTCCCAATTGGCTGGGACTACAGGCGCCTGCCACAATGCCTGGTTATTTTTTTGTTGTGGCTGTCATTGTTGTTCAGCTGGCCCTGGGCCAAGTTCGAACCCACCGGCCTAGGTGTATGTGACCAGCACCGTAACCACTGTGCTACAGGTGCCAAGCCATCAAAGATGACTTTAATCCCATATCCAAAACATCTTTCCAGATTTTCACACCTTCCTAATTCCATCATGGCATTTTCTGTTTCAGTAAATCCTTAGCACAGAGCCTAGCACAAGTAGGAGCACAGAGAATATCTGCTGAAGCAGAATTTAACAGAGAGCTTCTCTGATTTGGAAACCCTGTGGCTTCTGATTAGTGCCAGGGGCTAAGTCTTCTACTATACCCTACCTCCTCCATGGGAGGCCGCCCCTTTGGCCACCCCTTTGGTTCTCCAACCTGTACCTGAGCATTCAAGGCCAGGGAGCTCACCTGTATCCACATCACAAGAAATAGGGCTGAGGGACCATTTGTAGAGGGTGGGGGTGCTGGCTCAGTCCCATTCCTCCTACTGCACAGACCTCTCCTCCCATTCTCTCTCATGCCAGCTCTGGGCAGCGTGGGCCTCCCTCTGAGGCGACGTTCCCAGGCTTCAGCAATAACAGGCCCTCCATTCTTCCCTGCCCTGGCAGACCTGCCACCTCCCACAATGAAACTGCCCACTGCTGCTATGGGCAGCTGCCCCCTGTCCAAGGAGACAATGCAGACCTCTTTGGGGCCTGGGGTATAAGTTCAGGGCCTAGTCTGTCCCTTACTCCAGGAGGAAGAGGAATTGGCTTAAGTGTCCTGCTCAGATGGATTTGAAGGGTCACTTATTTCACTCTCGGGTTGCATGTCATTCAGCCTCTGGCATCTCCACAAACAGCCCTCACTGACCATGCTTTGTTTTCCCCAAATGAGGGAGAAATCTGGCATCTGCCCCTCCCTGATCTTCTCTGTGGGCCAGGCTCCAGCTATGTCTGGGTGTCAACCCTCAGCTCCCTGCCTCAAGGGCTAAAACTACTGAGAAAGGAGGTGGGTGCTATCCCCAAGGCCAGGCTCCTTACCAGTGAGGCTCCCAGCCCCCACCTCTCTCTCCTCACATTTGCCCATCAGATCCCATTGGCAAGAATCACCATAACTCAAACCAGTCTGTAATCTGCAGTCCAAGGAGAAGGATGTAACGCAGCTTTCTTTCACTTACCAAGTTTATCCAGCTATTTTCCAACTTTCTTTTTAGGGATCCTGAGCTCAGTCCTCAAGAATGATCCTCTTATGTCCCAGAGCCAGAGCTGGGTGGTGGGAGCCCAGGGCCGCAGTGGGGGGCTGCGGACAGGGAGTCCTTCTGTGGGCATGGATTCCTGGGGTGGGGGGAAGGGTTGTGCACTTGATCCTAAGCAGCCCCCCTTCTCTGGAAGCTCCAGTGCTAAAATCCAGCCCAGGAGGGTCCCAGCCACAGCCCAGCCCAGCCCAGCACCCAGCAGAGGAGGCAGAGCCACTGTCCTGTGGAGTAGCAGAGTGTGTGGCTGTCTTTCTTAAAGGGACAGCCTTCCCCAGAGCCCGAACGGGGTGGCAGTGCTGAACAGGAAGCAGCAAAGAAGATGAACCAGTGTTCTCCAGGGAAAAGCTCTGAGCAAGCACCAGGACCCTGGCGGAGCACCGGCCTAAATCTGACATCTGACAAGCTTGTCACTCTCCTGACATGCAGAACAGTGAGGCAGGAAGGTTCTTCTATCACAGGACTAGCCTTCCCCAGAGGACAGTACAACAGCCCGGAACAAATGTTAGTAACTTACTGTGCCCAAGGCACTTTCCTAAGTGCTTTGCATGGAAAAATGTATTCAGTCCCCACAGAGCTCTATGAGGTAGGTATCGTTATTGTTGTTATTGTTGGTGTTATGGTTATTTCTATTTTACGGATGAGGAAACTGAGGCTTAGAGAAAATAAACTGCCAAGGGCTCAGGAGTAATAAGTGGAAAATTTAGGAGTTTGACCAAAATGATTCTACTGGAGTTCAACCACAAAGCTTCCCCTGAAAGAGTTCAGGGAAGACCTCTGCAATCTATGAGCATGGATGGAGGACCCACCAGGGTCAGCTTCATGCCTTAGAAAAGGCAATATTCAAAACAAGGTGTCTGCCCTGACCACGCTCACTGACAGGAAATATACCCCCAAAGGCTGACACCAAACTTATCCAGAAGGGAGAATATGTTTTTAATTCTGTATAGTCTTCCGTAATTTTTCACATTTTATTTTAGAAGATATTCTTCTTCTTTTAAGAAGTTATTATTTTTAAAAAGAAAATGATAAAGATTCCACCATTTATCTCCCACTCAAACCACCAAGACCGGAACCAGAAGACACAAGTGTTCTATGTGGAAGTCCTGAGGGGAAGGACAGTAGCCAGGGTGACAGAACAGAGCCGCAGTACCAGCATTCCATCTGTTTGAGTTAAGTTTGGCCTAGCATGGAACTACAGGTAGATTTTAAATAATATTAAAGCAATAACTTCTTCTTCCAGCCAAAACTAAAATACGAAGCCTTTAAAAATTTGGCAATTAAAACGTTCAGTGAAGTCCAAGTCCCTTATATGTTATCCAAGACCCTTCCTAATTCCATCACCAGCTCCTTCTGCAGCTTCCCCCGCACGGTCCCACCCACCCCACCCAGCAACCAGGCCAGACTGCCAGAGGTTTCCGTGAGCCAGGCCAGCACTCAGCCACTTGCTCATGCAGTGCCTTCTGCCTGGGATGCCCTTCCTCTCCTCCTAGAAAGTCTCCTACATCTTTCCAGAACATTAATTGTCATTGCTGCCATGGGGCCCTCAAGGGCCCACAAGCAGAATTGACCGCTGCCTTCTCAGAGCTTGACCATGGCTGTAGACCGAATGTTTGTGTCCTCTCAAAAATTTATATGTTGATGCCTAATCCCCAGTGTGTTGGTATTTGGAGGGAGAGCCCCTGGGAGGAGAATAGGTCATGAGCACGAAGCCCTGCTGAATGGAGTTCCACTCTCATAAAAGAAGCCCCAGAGAGCTGCCACACTCCTCCTGCCATTTGAGGACACGGTGAGAAGACATTATTGTGTGTGAACCAGAAGGCAGGAACTCATCAGACACTGAACCTGCTGGTGCCTGGGTCTTGGACTTCCCAGCTCCAGAACTATGAGAAATAAATGTCTGTTGTTTAAGCCACCCAGTCTCTGGTATTTTGTTGTAGCAGCTCAAATTGACTAAGACGCCATCAAGAGCATGCTATTAGAGCTGGCACCACACTACATTCTATTTAATTTAGTGTCTTTGTTCATTTTCATATCCCCAGCACTGGCACTGAAATTATTTGTGGAGTAAGATGGCACATGACAATAATTGTTATTATTGTTTGAGAGTATGTACAGTTTCTCAGACACTTCCTCATAAGTCATCTCATTTGAACTTCATAACAACTGGCTGGGGTGGGTATTAGAAGTGTCAGATGTTAGTATTGGAGGAGGTAAGTAGTGTTTGAGGTCCTTATAACTCTACCCTTCAGAGGTTAGGTTTGTCCAGATAGCTTTGAAGGGCTGGCCAGGCTCCCCAACCTCCCCTAAATGCTGACAAATGCTGCTTTCAGCCAGGCCAGGCTGCTTCTATCCCATGCCCCTGCCCTCTGCATGCCTCCCAGTGCTGCAACCCAGCATCTCCTTGCCCTCAGCTCCCCCTCCAGCCACATGGAGCACCAGTGGGCACAGGGGTGATGCTTCTCAGCCAGTGTGTGGCCTATGTTCTCTCTGGGCTAGTGAACATAGCATAGCCAGAGTACTGATGAGGCCACAGCATCAAGCTAGAATCTAACATGATCCTTCCAGTTTCATGGAGAAAAACTCTACCATGCTATACTGTAGGAGACGCCAAGAGCCAGATGACATCCAAGCAAGATGATCTGCAGCTGAGGCGTGGACCTTGGGCCATTTGCCCGCAGGAGTTCCTTGTGGAAGAAGAGCCCGTGCCCTCAGCACCTTGTCATTGTTAATTACTCCCCTCACCTGTGTTGTTCTGGCTCAATAAAAGGCTGGTGCGGAGGTTGCTCGGGGCTAACCGGAAAGTAAGGGCTAGCCCACCTTCCACAAGCTTGTACTTCTAATCCGCCTCTCGCCTGGTTCCTTCCTGCGCTAACTGAGACCAGGGCCATAAGGAGCCCAACGGGTCATGACACTGTACCAGCTGTACCCACCCAGACAGCCAGTCCACAACCTCTGACATTGTGGTCACTGGGAGAGGGTATGGACCAAAGGTACACAGAATGTCTGAGCCAAGAGGAAGCTTAGAGATCACAGCCCCCTCTAGACAGCCATGAAAACTGGGGCCCAGACTGGGATGGACTTGTCTGAAACACAGAGTGAGATGGTAGTAAAATGACTGGCTGGCTCCTGAGCCCCTTCCAATGAGTCTGTTCTAAGCAAGGGAAAAGCAACTTAAAGGGTTTGTATTAAAAGGAAGTCACGGCTCGGCGCCTATAGCTCAACCGGCTAAGGCGCCAGCCATGTACACCTAAGGTGGCGGGTTCAAATCCCCAGCCCGGACCCGCCAAACAACAATGACGGCTGCAACCAAAAAATAGCCGGGCGTTGTGGCGGGCGCCTGTGGTCCCAGCTACTTGGGAGGCGGAGGCAAGAGACTCGCTTGAGCCCAGGAGTTGGAGGTTGCTGTGAGCTGTAATGCCACGGCACTCTACCCAGGGGGACAGCTTGAGGCTCTGTCTCAAAAAAAAAAAAAAAAAAAAAAGGAAGTCACAAAGACAAAATTAATTTGCAAGGAATTCTTCAAGTACACAACATACAAATCATTTTTGGATGCAACACTGCACATACCGTAGATAACATTATTTAAAAAACAATGAAGGAAAAAGCAGAAGATATTCAGTGACAGTATTCAAATTTAGTCACTCCAGAGGCCAGGCCATGATATAACCATGATATAACCATGACCTTTCCATGACCTTTCCTATGAACAAAGTGAAAATGTGGGTCTAACACTCTTCTGCATTGGGTTAGCAGAATTCCTTAAAATGGAAATACTACAGATTGATACTTTCTTTCATCCTCAGATAAAAGTTGTGCTATTTACAGTTGTGTTGGCAATTGGTGCTTAGTCGAATATTGTTGGTCCGTACCCCTGAATCCAGGCGTTGTTGACTCCAGGCGCACAGCGCGTAGTGTCTCCAGGCCACTTGTGTTTGGGTGGGCCCACGTGACTGATCCTGCCCCCTGAGCTGAGAGTACATGCTGAGTCGGGTACTGCTTAATTTTATGTATCAACTTGGCTGGGCCATAGGACAAATATTTGGTCACACCCTGATGTTGCTGGGAAGGTATTTTTTTTTTTTAGAGGAAGTTAACATTTGAACCAGAAGACTTTGAAGATAGCAGACTACCCTCCACTGTGTGGGTGGGCCTCTTCCAATGCATTGAAGGCCTTCAAGGAAAATGACTGCGGTCTTCCAATGAAGAGGGAACTCTGCCCCCAGATAGTCTTCAGTTTTGAGCTATAACACCAACCCTTTCTGGGAGTCCAGGCTGACGACCTGCCCTGCAGAGTTTGAACTTGCCACCCCCATAATCATGTACGCAGATTCATGAGGATAAATGTAGTTAGAAAGAGAGAGGCAGAGAGAGATGCAGCTAGTTCTGATTCTCAGTAGAACTTTGACTCATAAAGTGGTCTAGAGCCTTTGACAGGGTCCAGACCCTTTCCCTTTGGCATGGCACCTATCAACACCTAAAACAGGGCTTCTCTGCCAGTCCAGGGCCCTGATGACTGTAATAAACAAAGCCCCTCCATCAATCTCCTCAACAGAAAGCATGAGTAAGAAACCTCTATTGTTTTAAGTCACTATAATTTGGGGATTGTGTGTTATCAAGCATAATTGAACTTATGCTGACTGAAGCACTAACCATCCATCTGAGATGTGAGATGCTAGGTTCTAAGGAAAGAAATCCAGAAAAGCAGCGGGACCAGGGCAAGATTTTGATCCTGGCCTCACATACACATTCCCAGACACAGAGCTTTTCCCCCAGTCATATAGCTTCCCTGCTTACCATCTCGGAATCCTGAGAGTCTTAACTCAGAATCCAGTCATAGTCGTGTAAATGTATCAAAGGTACAATCTCACTGGGGAGACTGCCCTAGAAAATGTTCAGAGTTCTGCTGAGGAATCTGACCTGGACCTAGAATGGGAAGCTCTCCAAAGAACAAAAGTTTCCACTACGGCAACAAAAATGTTAAACATGATTCA